ACGTCACGTTAAAAAAATATACAAAAAAACTCATATTTTTGTGTAGTAGCAATGACAATAGTGGTTTAAAAAAAATTTGAGACCTTATGCTAAATAATGCCTTATATTGTTAGGTCTTTTAAAATTTAAGGCTTTCCATGTTTTCGTAACTTTAGGCCATAGGTTTAAGTTACTTAATAGTTAAATTATTTTTGTTTCTATTTAAATAATAAGAAAATCAAATCCATTTATGTATAACACTTTCTTCATTTTTATGACAAGTGAACATTATCCACCAATGCATTTTTGGATAATATTTATTTACTGTAAAAAAATGAGTGAATAAAATTATTATTTCTCAATCAATGGCTATGACAGTGACACGACATAATTTTTTATCTTATTCATTGTGTGGGGTTGGATACATAACACACGCCGGAGATTGAGTTTCCCCCATCAATGGAAAGACTCTGTTTTTTTTAAATGTTGTGTCTTGTAATTGAATAAATATATAGACATGAAAAGGGTGTTTCATGTAACATGCTTGTGCCTTACCCTTCTAAATATGAGTAATGTTAAGGATTTTAAATATTTTATTAATATTTTTATTAAATATTTTATATAAATGTGTGATTCATATGGGACTTATATAGTGTGAGTCTTACATTCATTTGAGATTTTTGGTAAAAATATTGGTAAAATATTTGGGGTCTTAGCTTTTGTCTTTAAATATTTCTCAAATGGTTACAACGTGACGACGTTTTAGGACATTTATCTATCTTTTAATATAATTGTTAAATTTGATATAATCTGATTTATTATTTATTTATTTTATGTCTCATTTAGTAATTTTTAATTTTAATTAAAAGTTATTATATGTTATCACATCACTCTCTCTATTTTTTTATACATCTTTTTGTTAAAAATCAAAAAATTATTAAAATAATATATTTTCAAACGAAACTTTAGTATTATATATTCTTGTTCAAACATGTTTAATTGTGAATTTTAATAGAATCCAATGTATTTTTAATTGTGAATTTTAATAGAATCCAATGTATTAATACTAGTTTGTTTAGTTTAGATTTTCAGGCTTCATTTTTCAAAAAATTAATTTTTTTTTAGATTTTCAGGCTTTATTTTTCAAAAAATTATTTTTTTTCATTTTTCTTATTTGTTTTTTGTTTTTTTGAATTTTTTTAATAATCTAAGCAATTTTTTTAATTTTTAGATACACCTAACATAAATACACTTGAAAAATATAATATTTGTGGAAAAAAAAACTTTAGAAAATTCACTAAATACCAAAAATATAAATAAAAAAAACGAGAATTTAGTATATTTTTTCGTGCTGTTATGTATTTATTATTTTTTAAAATATTTTTTTACAATACATCTAAATAAGGTGCATCTAAAATATTAAAAAAATGCTTAAAATTTTAAAAATATCCATTAAAAACAAAAATAAAAATGAAAAATAAAAAATTTAATTCAAAAAATTAAAATAAAACACCCTGAGTATGATCTCACCCGATTGTGCCTTAAATGTTATATCATGAAAATGCTCACTTTGTGCCAATATAGATCAGCACTTGTTTGATGCAATTTATATGATTATTTCTATTTATTTACTCAAAAAAAAAAAATTGTTTTATTTCATTTTCTGGAGAGTTATTATATCAGTGTTGTATAGTTTCTCTTTACACTTTAGGACAGAGGAGGAGATATTTTTTACATCAGTTGCATTTGATGGAGTTTTCTAAATATGATTTGATAATAGAGTTGTATTTTGACTTTGTGAGTTTTGAAATTATAATTTAAGTGTGAAAAATTTGTTTGGTGAATGAGTTTTAAAAAGAGTTTTGAATTGAGTGAAAATTTTTTGATATAACATATGATATTTGACACAAAAACTTACAACTCAAACCAAACACACAACTCAAAATTCTATTCAAAACTCATAAAAAAATTTAAAAAATCAAAAAATATTTTTTTATTGAATATATAAAAATTAACATGTGTCAATTGTAAAAAAATATATATACATTATGCACTGTTTCGGTTAACCGGTGGGACGTCCGGTAGGACGTCCAGTGAGACGACCGGTTAGTCCAAATTTTCTCGCCTTGGACTAAGTTTTCAAAAGTAAGTATGAAATTAATTTTTAAAAACCATAAACAAACATGATGTACAAATCAAAACCTGAAACTAAAGTTCAAACTCTACCAAAAATAACCTTCTATTTTTTAACTATTCGATTTCAGCCTGAGAAAAATTGTACTGAACTAGCCCAAAACATCACATACATAAATTATTTATTTATTTACTTTTCTTTGTTTTTTTTGTGTAGTTTGAATTAATTGAACTTGGGATTCAATTAGGATGAACTTTTTTAGCATAATTTTTTAATTATTTTAACATGGTTAAAAATGCATTGTTGGGATGATCCTTTTCTTTGTTTTTTTTTTTTTGTGTAGTTTGAATTAATTGAACTTGGGATTCAATTAGGATGAACTTTTTTAGCATAATTTTTTAATTATTTTAACTTGGTAAAAAATACATTGTTTGGGATGATCTTTTAACTTTTTTAAAAATTTGTAACAGAAAAAATAAAATAATTATAATTTAAATGTAATATTTTATCTTGTTAATTTTTAATTTATTTTACTTTTTGATAAGCTAAATTAACTCCGACCATCTTGCCCAATAGGCCCTTAGGCATCCATGATTTTTTTTTTTTTTTTAACAAAAAAATCATGACATCTTCCCATAAGTCCAAAGCAATGCCCAAGTCGAGATCATTAAAATACCTTGTTATTCGTTCTAGACTAGAGATTATAATTTAAGAATTTATACTGACCTCTCAACACAAATTTCACTTAAATCAAACTTACAGAATAAAAATATAAAATAAAAAAAAAATCAAACCCACATCAAATACTATAAGATGTTTTGAAAAATTAATTAAAAATTATTTTTTTTATTTTTTTATAGATAAAAATTATAAAAAATAATATAACTCAAAATAAATTAAAAATCAAAACTTAAATTTTAACTAACTTCCCATACCAGCCGTATAACTTGAGGTCGCTACTAATCAATTACGCTGCGCTGAGCGAGTCATGAATCCATTATCATCCTTAGCCAAACAGAGTGTATAACTTGCAGAAGATGTGGTTTATCAGATGTCATCATGATTCATGACCTCTCTGTCACAAATCCTTGATGGGAATTTACACCCAGAATGAACAACTTGATTCCGACAACGTAATTGGCAGTGGCACGTGTTGTGATATTTTGGAGTTGGTTTTTTTAGTCATTTTTTATTTTTTATTTTTAAATTTTAAAAAATTTTACATTTTCAGATTCTAATTGACTAGGAAAATCGAAAACGTAAAAAAAATTATTTAAAAAAATTCAGAAAGAAACAAAATAAAACTAAAAGTAGTTGGTTTTCACTTTTTATTTTTTGAGTTTTTTCACAAAAAAAAAATTTCAATGTGTTTGGTTTCAATTTTCTAAATTCAATTTTTTAAAAATTGAGTTTTTTTATTTTTCATATTTTTTATTTTTAGTGAATATTTTTAAAATTTTAAGCAATTTTTTTACTTTTTTTAGATGCGTCTTCCTTAGATGTATCTACATAATAAAATATTTATGAGCAAATATTTTAAAAAATTAATAAATGCACAAAAATATGAAAAATATACTGAATTTATATATATATATTTTGGTATTTAGTATTTTTTTTTCCATAAATATTATACTTTTTAAGTGTATTTATGTTAGGTGTATCTAATAATTAAAAAAATTCTTAAAATATTAAAAAAATTCATTGAAAACAAAAAAAAATACGAAAAATAAAAGAATAAAATTTTCTTAAAAGTGTTTTTTGAAAATTAAAATCAAATAAGTTGATTACATTTTAGATTTATTTATACTAAACTGATTTTAAAAATAAGAAAATTTGACATAATTAAAAAAAATACTAAAGACAAAAAAATTAAAATTAAAACGCCAAGAATGCCATATTTTCTAGCAAACAGAAACTACAAAGCATAGCAGATGGCAAGTGGAGCATGCCAAAATTATAAGGAAAATTTATTTACAACCTAAATTGGTGAGGCAGTGATAATTGCATTTCTCAAATTATAAGCAATAATTATTATGGATTTTGCAATAAGTGCATCATATAATCGTATTATTCTTAACTTCTACTATATGACAAACACCACCATAAGAGCACCTCTAACCATTATTGTTATAATGTTATTGACATTGTTATAATTTGGCAATAAATAGTGTTATTTTGTCAAATTATAACAATGTGCTCCAATAGTTATTTGCTATTTTGACAAATCACAACCAACTTCTTCTCCAAGTTTGTAGGTGTTGTTTGGATATAAGTTTTTTTTGTGATTTTATTTTTGTTTATTTTTTTTCTTTTGTGACATTTTTTTACTTGTTTGTTAAAAAAATTATATATTTATATTATTCTCAACTACACAAATATAAAAAATTAAAAAAAATAAAAAATTGGAAAAAAAAATTTGTTTGATTAATTCACCCCACCAAAAAAACATATCACTACATATTTAATACATTTTTTTAACTACACATAAAAAATAAACAATCACCAATTATCCACCAACAACCATCCATTATTAATCCAGCATTCATTCACTCACAACTATTCACCCAACAACCATACATTATTCATCCATCCACCCAACAACCACCCATTATTCATCCACCCACCCAACAACCATCCATTATTCATCCATTCACCCAACAACCACCCATTATTTATCCACACACCCAACAACCATCCATTATTCACCCACTCACTCAACAACCATCTATCATTCACCCACTCACAACTTTCTCTATAAATATAACACAAGGTTTTCTACAATTTTCATATTCACCTACCCATCATTTTCATATCTTTTAAACTCTCTGTATCCATCCAGAAGATTTTCTACAATTTTCATATTCACCCACTCACCCATCTACCTACAATGAACAATTTGACTAAAACCATATTAAATGGAGATTTTGATGAACCTTCATTATCTGATAATGATATCATCATGATGCAACTATTCACAACGCAACAACAAAGATTACAAACGTTAAGTCTAAACCAACAAACCAGACGTGTTGGTTCCACAAGTGGTCGTCGATATATTAATTGTGAAAAGATCAAATGCGACGAACAAATTTATACAGATTATTTTGCAGATAATCCTGTCTATCCAGAAGAATACTTCCGAAGACATTTTCAAATGAAGCGGTCATTGTTTGTTAGTATCTTACACGATATTCAACAAGTGAATGAGTACTTCATCCAAACCCGTGATGCCACTGGTGCTCCTGGATTATCCGGTGTACAAAATATGACTATAGCACTTTGGATCCTCCAGTACGGCATGTCTATTGATGCTGTAGACGAGTACATTAGAATTGGCGAAAGTACTGCAATTGCCGCCTTAAATTTTTTTACCAGATCAATTATTGCTACCTATGAAGTCGTTTACTTAAGATCTCCAAATGAAGCAGATTTCGCCAGATTATCGCAAGAGGGAGAGCAACGCGAGTTTCTTGGAATGTTAGAGAGTTTGGATTGTATGCACTAGCGTTGGGATAAATGTCCAAATGCCCAAGTCGGTGCTTACACTGGACACTATCATAAACCAGCAGTTGTACTCGAGGCAGTTGCCTCCTATGACTTGTGGATTTTTCATGCTTTCTTTAGCATGCCTGCCTCTCTAAATGATATTACTGGTCTTGACAGGTCGCCTTTATTTGCTAAATTAACTAGAGGACGTGCCCCTGCTGCCAACTATACCATCGATAATCACGCGTACACCATGGGGTATTATCTTGCTGATGGTATCTATCCTCGTTGGGCAACGATTGTGAAAACAATATCTCAACCTCAAGGCGCAAAGAGACAACTATTTGCAAAGATGCAGGAGGCATGTCGGAAAGATGTCGAAAGGGCATTTGGAGTGCTCCAAGCACGATTTAATATTGTTAGAGCTCCAGCTAGAGGTTGGAGTGATGAGGATTTGTACTACATCACGAAGACGTGCAATATTTTGCACAATATGATCATTGAAGACGAGTGTGATATTCCAGAAAATGAACGCAGTGCAGCACAACTTGAGACTGATACCAGTAATTTGGGCTGTGAAGTGTCACGCGATCCGAATGAGGAGTATGCTCAATTTATGTTGAATTGGCAAAGGATTAGATCTATTGAAGCCCATAATGCAATTTGTAATGATTTAATTGAACACTTGTGGTCCCGGGCTAGAGAGTTAGATTAAGTTTGCATTTTATCTTCTTAATGACAGTTAATATCATTTAATGTCAGCTAATGTCTTTTTATTCTAATAAAATTATCTTTATTTAATGTCTTTTTATTTTATTTTTTTATTATAATATAGTATTCTAAAGTACAAAATACTCAAAAAAATATATATATGAAATTTCATTACAAAATAAAAATTACATTGCAAATAAAGACTAACAATTACATCAAAAAATAAATGATATTGCAAATTTTAAAAATACATTATCCCGTAATTATTCATCAGGAGGTAGAGGGAAATAAAAATTTAGGCTGCTCACATTTGAGGACCACTTGGCGAAAATCTCATTTTTTCACATTGTGTAATACGCTTTCATCTGAGGGTCCAAATGAGAAATGTCCATAGTCATTATTTTGTGTTCTTCTTTTTTCATCTCAAACTCATGTTTTTTCATCTCAAGTTCTTTCATCTCTTGCAGTGCTTGAATCCTTTTTTTCACTCTTTTCTCTTTTTTCTTTTCTTTCTCAACAAGGTGTTGCTTAAATGTGTCCAATTGTATACTCATTTTTTGGACATCAGTTTCAATGACTTGATTTCTCCAAAATAATTCTTTTGCAAATTTCCTACCCATCAGCCTTTTACCCCTTGCAGAGACACTGCCCTCACCAACAGTTGGATTGTTACCAACACTTGGACTGTTGTCGTCTTCAAGAGAAATGTAGTTATCCATAGGGGAATCGGGGGCTGAATTAGGGGAAAACACTGTATGTATCCTTGACTTTACTGTATTCGTAAGAGCTACATCTTGCCACCTGATATTGTCTTGCAATATTGGCCAACAATGTTCAAAAGCAAAATGTTTGTTTTCATCTTGATGGTATAACAATTTTGCTTGAAGCATCTGTTTAAAAAAAATTGAAACATTGTTTAATTACATAATTTTTATACAATACCAGAATAAGAAACTAAACATAATAACTGAAGATAAAAACTTACTATATCAACTTGAGAAATCCCGCTTGGGTGAAGGTTTTCAACTTGCACTAAACACCCCCGAAATTTGTTAGAACATTTCATGATTATACCCCATCGAGATTGAATAGACACTTCTGTTTTGGAGTGATCATTCTGAAGTAAGCAATAATTTTCGTAAATTCTCCCCCAAAAGTGAGCATACGATTGTGAATTGCCAACAATTGGGTCTTCCGAAATGTGACACCAAGATTTATAAATTGCCATATCTTCTTCAATGGTGAATGATTTTCCTCTTTTTGTTTTTGATAAACCTTCCATAGTGATTGGATGACAAAACTAAAAAGAAAATAATTTAAGAGGTTTCCTGTGAAATCAAATTCAAAGAAGAGAGGAGAAAAGAAAAATAAAATCTAAATGTTTGTGTGAAAGAAAAGTGACATGGAGGGTTTCAATTTATAGAAATTAAAAATATTATCGTTTGGGAAATAGCCGTTTGAAATAGTTGTTGTAAAAAATAATTAATATGTACATTTTTTAAAAAAAAAAACAGAGCACAACGACTCTCTTATACACTGAGGCATCACCGTCCACGTATACATCTAGAATGATCCACCCTCATCCTCCCCCTCTCACTCTGTCTTCCTCTCCTCAATCCTCTCTCCCTTTTCTCCTCCATGATCGAAACCTCTCTCACTCTCTCAGTCTGTCTCCCTCTCATTCTCTCACTCTGTCTCCCTCTTCTCAAACCACTCCCCCTTCTCCTCTATGATCGAAACCCCTCTCTGACTCTCTCACTCTCTCGCTCGGTCTCCTTCTCAGTCTCTCACTTTGTCTCCCTCTCACTCTCTTAGTCTGTCTTCCTCCTCTCTCTGTTTTCACTTTTCCTCTTCCTTTCTCTGTCTTCCCTCCCTCTCCTCAAACCAGTCCATTCTCCTCTTCCATGATCGAAACGTCTCTCTCTCTCTCTCTCTCTCTCTCTCTCTCTCTCTCTCTCTCTATGAAGCTCCGATCTGTCTCCCCCTCAATCTTTACCTCCGATCTGTGTACTCTCTGTCTCTTGTACGATCTCCATCTATATACATACTCATATATATATATATACATGTTTTGATCTGTCTCCCTCTCAGTCTTCATCTGTTGATTTTTGCTTTATTTTTCTGGTTGTTGATGTGGATCGATGATCGTGATTTTTGAAACTCAAAGCTGGCGATGGATTCAAACCGGATCTACAAACAACTTAAATCTGGTATGTTTTTTTTTCAAATTTTCTTGATTATTTTTTTGATCAATTTTTGTTCATCCATCAATTTTTGATATCTGTCTTCATCAATTTTTTTTGTTAATCCATCAAATCTGGTATCTCCCTATATATATATATATATATTGATATCTGTCTCCCTCTCAATCTTCATTCTGCAAATTTTTGTTCATCCGATAATTTTATTGTGAGATACTGGATTATCTGATTTCGTTTGATTTATTGTGAATGCATACCATCTAATTTGGATTGACTGATTTGGTGATAAATGAATTTAAAAAAATATAATATATATGAGAAACTAAATTTGGATTTGTCAATTTCATTATGAAATTTGTTTGATTTTGAAAATTGGGTTTGATTCTGAAAAATGGGTTCCCTACTGTTTCAATTCTGTTGTTTTCAACTGAATTTGGTGCCAAATTGTTGTTCATTTTTGCTAATCTGGCAAGCTTGGGAGCTGCTTTTTCACTTGCCAAATTTGAGAACAGATATGGCATCTGCCATCTTTGGCAAATGAAATAGCAGACCATTGGAAACCAATTTTTTCCATTCCTGTCATTTTTTAGCTTTGGCAAGTGAAATAGCAGCTCCATTGGAGATGCTCTAAAAAGACAAAATATATACAAGAAAACACAAATAGGAGTAATTATTATTAGGACCCGGAGTCTTTCCAGTCCATAATTTGAATTATTGGGTGCTATCAAGATCTATAAAGCTTACTAAGGTTTTATTTTGATAATTTGAACCGTTTATTTTATCGGATTTTTTTGTATATCATTTACAGAAGAAATTAGATTAATCTAATAATCGTTACTAAAAATTCTAAATAAACCCCGAGATATTGATTTGTGATTATGTTTCAATTTAAACTAGTGAATAACAATCTCAATCAAACAATCAAAACAAATCGACACAACGATTTAACGTGAAAAAATTACAATTGGAGCACATCTAATTGTTATAAAAAATCACAGGTCAAAATCACAAAACAATCCACTAAGAATATAAATAGAAATTACACATGAGTATTCTCAATTACCTAGCAAATTCACACCCAAATTGAACCAAACTCTATGTGTCTCTTCTAACACCATCTTTTCCATGGAACTACTTTGCCCAACATTGAATCCACAACGGTAATGTCAAATCCACGACGATGAGTCACTCTGAAATCCACCAAAAATTCATATCCATGTTTTCTGGAATCCACCGAAGAATACCTCTCCCTTTATGTAAATAAATAAACGAAAACAACCATTAATGTTTGACACTATGTAATTCGTTGATCAATCGATCATCTTTTAAACATCAAGGAAACTCATATAAAAGCACCCTCTAATGTAGAACACTTTGTATTTTATTTCTCTCTGAGAATTTGGATGGGTTCAACCCTAAAAACAGTGAACAACGCACTTTATAGAAAACAAAGTCTTTCTGACCGCTTAAGCCACCACTTGGCCGCTCAAGCAGTGTGGGTAAAGGCGGTGCAAAATATATAGGCCAACCACTCGAGTGCAACTTCTATAACTCGAGCGGTAAAACAAATTTTCTAGAAGTTCTGAATGTAAGCTGAAATACTGGAAGCTTCACTTCACCGCTCGAGCGCACAAATGATCGCTTGAGCAATCCAACTACTTTAACTTCTTTTTGGCTTTGAGGGCATTGCCCCTCGATCCCCGTACATAGTGAGTGAAGTGGCAAACAAAAAATGCTCAAAATACGGAATGTCAACAAAAATTCTTCTACACAAGTACAATTCGGGTTGGATTTGTCTCTAAACACTTACAATGTCACTGAAACAAAAGAGAGAATAAAATTACAACTGAAGAGAGTTTTCTCAAACGGGATTGCCGATTACAAAAACCTAATAATAACTTATTTAATTCATCACGTTTATCTCAAAAAAATACATAACAAATGTATTTTTAAAGATAGATCATCTATTTTTTTTTTTAATGACAAATGTGATAAATTAAATAGATTTTAAATATTAAATTGATATAATTTTTTTTGTAATAGATGATATACATCAAAAAAAATCTAACAAAATGAATAATTTAAATTATCGAAATAAGATATATGGTAAATCCAAAAAACCAAGATAACACCGCCCAGCCTGAGTCACAGACCAGAGGAAATCGATTCCTTATTGGTTGTTATTATTAGCGGCAAAATAATAATAGCATGTCGCCAAAAAACTTGACAAGCAAACAATTCACACACCACAAACCAGATATACCAAAACATCAAAGGCTAAACGTTGTGGTGTTTGTTCAAATGATCTGATTGACATTCTCAATTATAATTATAGCTGGATTGATCGGTTTAGGAAACGAACTCACATGAATTGTCTTTAATTTTGGATTGAGACCAACAATTATTTAGGGGTTTGGAATTGACTTTTTTTAATAATTTTTAATTTTTTATAAAAAGATGTATAAAAATATAGAGATAATGATTTAACATTATGTAATAACATTTTAATTTTTTTTATTTAAAAAACTTACTTCCCAAACAAAGCTTATAATAAGTAGCATAATAGCATTGCTGTAAACAGATTCAGAGTTATACATTTGTGTAAGTCACAGATACACACAATCACAAAATAATTATACATTTATATGAGTCACACATACGCAGAGTCACAAAAACTCATATCAAACATATTATTTGTTATGTATTTGTATGAATCACCCATAGTATCAGATTTATTTGGGGTAATGCCACTTCTTGAATGATTTTTGAGTTAATTATTCTTTTCATTCTTATAATTTGATTC